GAGTGGGCCGTCATAACGGTCTGGCCATTAGTTATATGCCTCAAGACAACGCTCTTTGTCCACACTTTACGGTCAATCAAACGTTGAATTATTTCAAAAATATCTATCGCTTATCGGATGAGGAGTTTAAAAAAGGGTAAAAATTCTAATTAAAATTTAATTATAATTTTCTTAATTAATTAATTTTAATTCATTAATTATAAGATGTAAAAAGTTGAAAAATTTGCTTAAACTACCGTCTGGTCAACAACTGGTGCGCCAACTGTCCGGCGGTACTCAACGACGTCTATCAATAGCCATTGCATTGATAAATAGGCCCACAATTGTAATACTGGATGAGCCGACGGTAGGCATCGATCCGCTGCTCAGACAAGATATTTGGCACTATTTGATGAGTGAATGTAAACATAGTTTAACAGCGATTATTGTCACCCATTATGTGGAGGAAGCGGTTAATGCGAATCGTGTGGCACTCATGAGGAACGGCAGGATTTTGGCCGAAGAAAGTCCCAAACGTTTGATGCGATTGTTTCGGACAAATAGTCTGGAAAATGTCTTTTTATGTCTTTGTTTAGCCGAAGACCGAGACCTTCGCGCCAACGGAAACGTCAATACATTTTACAAGAATCGGGTCAACAATAAAGATATCAACACTTTTGATAACAACTCATACGATAGTAGTATTGATGACAGTCTTGTGACGAGTCTATCGCTAAAACTCTCGATTCTTGTAATACTATTGCATAAAAATATTCTGAAATTCTTTCACTTAAATATATGGCTAATAATATTACTAATGCCAGCGTTTCAGGCGTTGCTGTTGTGCGCCATTTATAGCAAAGACTTAATTTTGGTAATTTATTTCAGTAAACATATTAATCATGTGAATTAAAACAATGTTAAATCTAATTAACAATTTATCATTCAATTAGTTAAACACAGGTGTGGTTAACGAAGAGGTTTATCCCAAACACAGCGCCACTCTATTGAACTCAATTAAGAGCAATAATCGTCACATAATTAATCCGATTAACTACTCGTCTCTGGAGAAGGCTATCGATGGCGTGAAACACTTGGAGACAATAGCCGTCATCCGTATTCCCCGACACTTTTCCCGTGCAATCAATGAACGTTTGTCTCGCGGTTTGATTGTCAGCAACGAGACAATCGTCGACAGCAATGTCCGCCTCTATGTCGACAACTCTGTGCTCATGTATGCAAACGGTGTGATCGACTCATTGGCCAATACTTTTGTCTCGTTTTTCAAGAAACTCTACGCCCAGAAGAATAGACGATTCAATGGAGTGGCCATTAGTGTGGAGAAGACGGCCAACTCTAAGGACATATACATCCATAACTACTATATGCCCGGAAATTATCTCTTCTTTCAGTACATCTCAATTATCACAATCTCATCGCTGGCGCTGACACACGAGCGCCGGGACGGCCTCTTTGAGCGCTCACTCATCGCAGGAGTCGGCCATGAATTAGTGTTTGCCTCCCATTTGATCACCAATTGTCTCGTAACTGCGGTTCAGATACTCTTCCTCTATATATCGGGGTTTATGTTGTTTTCCAATGTTGTGAACAATAGCTCAGTCTTAATGATTACCAGTTATTTGATGTTACAATCGGTGAGTGGTATAGCGTTGGGTCTGTTGATCAGTTCACTCGTGGACAGGGATATTGTCTGCATTATTATCGTTTGGTTCATAACAATACCTCAACTCTTTTGTAGCGGCCTTTTCTGGCCACTGGAATCACTACCCGATAACTTGAGATTATTTTTCTACTATTTGAGTACATTATCCATACCGGTGGACACGTTTAGGCATATAGTGCTCAGGGGTTGGGATTTAAATCATCCGTACATTAGGTTTTCATACCTCTATTCACTTACTTTCATTGCTATTTGTTTAACCATTTCGTTGATTGTATTTAAGCGCTAATAATTTGTAATGAATTTGTTTTACTCTTTTGTTAATTAAAATATTTTTTTAATTGCATTTTATGTTAAAACAAGTGAATTAGTAATTCGTTATATATTTTTGTCAACAATTTTATAACAATCAGTAATAATCACACAAAAAGAGTTTATATTCTTGAGAAAAAAATATATTTTTATTATTTTCAGATCCAATGCAATGGATTGAGTGATCACTTCATTAGCACATAATAATACTGTTTGATTTGATTGAGACAAACATCGGTTAAAATAAAATATAATTTCATTGTCGGGTGAAAAATATATTTCTCTGATATAAACTCTTTTAGTTAACAATCTTTTCCAACATTTTGTTTATTAATTTGTAATAAAAAATAAACCATAAATTTCACTAATTTTGCGTTAATCTAAATAAAATTTATTGTCATTTATATTTCACTTTTATTTTGAGTCTACTCTTGCTTTTAATATCACAGGCTATGGATTAAATCGTTTGAAATTTCATCTATTATTTTTTAACAGTGTTTTCCCGGAATTTAAATTTAATTTCTAGTAAATAGCAAAATAATCATATATTTCGTCTAATCTTTATAACTATTATTACTTCTTCAGTGAATATATATATAATATATATTTTATATATAATTAATGGAAGCCTTAGTTATGTTATTATAGCATAAAATTTACATTAAAATATATAAGAAATAATTAATTCGTTTCTAAACTCCAAAACCCAAAATATTTGTCTAATTAAACAAATAAAACAGAAATTGTTATAATTAAATCCAAAAACCAATTACCCAAAAATGTTTTTGTTACTTGAGCTCAAAAAAAACAAAATAAAATATAACTAAAATTAAAATATAAGAAATAAATGATTAAAAATATAAAAATTCTATGAAAATTATAGAAATTAAGAAATTAATCTTCATATTAATTTGTTTACTCCCAAATAGTTTCGTTGTTTATCTTAATAATACTTTAATTTTTCTGAAGTTATTTCTCAATTAACATATTTAACTACTAATTTCTCCCATAAATCCAAATTATTTTCTTAACAAATAGTAAAAACTTATGTTTTTTCTATTTATATATTTTCGCTGCGAATTGAAAATAGATTTAGTTTAAAATTAAGTGTCAATTTCTTTATGTTAACTAAACGTCTAATAAAACTCCTTATCTATACTAAAAAACCAATTTTAAACATTATGTAATATATTGTGTGTAAAATCGTATTGTCTTTCATTCACATATCACTGAATGTCAATCTAAAGAGTGACAAAAGTGACGGTCCTATCATTGATTGGTTGCGGCAAACGATAGTTTTCCAACAATTCTCCCCCAATAAGGCTCTGATCGCGAGTAACGTAACACATGTCCCGGAATTTTGCGATCTATTAATAGGGGTTTTGGTTTACATGTTTGCAATACATTTGGTATATTAGGTGTAAATTATAAAAGTTGTATTCAATACCTGATCGGCTGTGCATAGTATAGGTGTGGAGTAGACAATCCATGTGACGGACTCCCATAGCGGGGGAGTAGTCAATGAGCCCGGATAAGTGTAATAGGACTTGTTATCTGTTTGGGTTTACAAAGTTGTTATATCATAACCAAACTGTATGCATGTTTGAAAATTATAATCTCAGTCAATGTCTATACCCGGGAACAGTTTAGTGACGTCCACGTTGTGTGCGATTTTGCATTTCTCGCCCTTATATTTAACGAGACATATATTTTGCAAGAGTTTCTCCAACTCTTCGTTCCTCTCATTTCCGATGTCGAGAAAGACTCCCAAAACGGTTAACCCGTTATTACTGGGCATCGCATCGGCAGGAGAGCTGAATAACTCGGTATTCCAGTGGACGAAATGTAACTACAAATATATTACATGTTGTATTTTAATAAATACTTTATAACATTTATAATATTGAGTAAAATCACCTCGGCTGCATAGCTTTTACCGTTGACAGTGTGCTCAGAGCCCACATTTAAATCTTTGCCCCAATGGCAGTGAAATTGTGTCAAACGATAAACATGTGAAAGGGGACCGCCGGACACACCTTATGTGCATATTTAAAACAATTAATATAATTAATTAATTGTGGGCTTAAGGCTTTGGCATAATTTATAAAGATTAAGCAATTCTTTGCCAAGTTTAGTACATAATAAATAAAATAATATAAATTATTAATGATTTATAGTACAGATTAGAAATGATATCGATTAATAACTATAAATAACAATTTATACCAATACTGCATTAGTAGCAAAAGTGATATAAGTAATATATTTTGCTAACATTTGCAAATTACGGTAATAAATAGCCTAATGTTTGGTAATAATGATTTATATTCCTAATGTATAGCCTATTAAGGAATCACTAAATTATTTTTAAACATAAACATGATTTTAACACTTATATATTTTGGTGAATAAATAAATTGTACACATATTGCATAAATAAATTAGTCTATAATTTTTTATTAAGTTAACTTATATTTCATATGCAAATAAATATAGCAAAATACATACGGGTTTGGCGGCCAATATCGTCGGGAATGTCTACTTTCCAACCGTAACCCGTGTTTTGAACGGTAAGTTCGGGAAATTGTTTTGGGTATTCAACTTTGAGGCCATTTTCCACGTGAACCCCTTGGTCGCCCTTAACCACAACACAAGTAGTTGCGTTTAGATCAATAGGCGATTGCTTTTTACCCGCCGATGCAATCGGAAACTTTTGTGGCCATATCTGTGGGCCTGTTATCAATGAAATGAGAGATTTTGATTAGATTAATGCTAAACTTAACATTTGTTTTATTGTTCACACGTTTACAATATTGTAATATAAATTATGATTTATTTTATTCCTAGATCGATAATCAAGTGAATAACACATTTTCAATAATTTATACACTATTTAAAAAGCACTTACTTTTATAGAAATAATTGCTGCAACACAAACCCATAGTAAAGTATTAAATAATAATTTTAATACTACTTTTTTGTGATTATATAATTTGTGTGTAAGAAACTGAGTCTCAAAACCATAACTGCTAACAGTTTTGTGCGAGTTTTTCGACAAAATAAGTCCTTTAATAATGGATATGAAATCAATTTGCGAATCATATACTGATAGCGACCCATAATTTAATATCATTTGTTTCTTTCATTAGTGTTTTTTGAAGAAAACTCAATGAAAAAACATTTGTTTTTCCTTTTAATACAATACATATACCCCTAGTTTATTGATAATATGTAATGTAAAAATCTATTTTATTATATTTAGACACAAAAGCAAATTCATTAGTATTCGGTTATATAATACACAGAAATCAATAGATATTAGTTATAGTAAACGATATATATTTGATAAAAGATATTTGTTTGCCGTTTTTAATAAAATATTGGGGAAAATATCTGCTATTGTTTGTCAATATTTTACAGAAATATTGTAGTGTTTTGCGAGTATTTATAACTGTTTTATCAAATAAAATATAAATTGCATTAGAGTTTAGTTGATATTTTGTTGGCAAATGTCATAATCTAATATATTTTATGCATATTTATTATAATAGACTAAACAGAGAGTAATAACGAAGTAAAATATTACTGGAGTGACAAAAATATATATAAATTATTATTATTTGAGTCTCTCTTTTATGATAACTAAAAGCTTTTTTGCATAATATTTTAATCCTAAATGCATTCTGGGTTTGAATATAATGTCAATCATTGGATTATAAATGGAATATACTGTACTAAAATCTTCCATGATAAAAAGCTATTCAAAATTTGCCGCAAACTAAATAAACTAATTGTTGGTTTATGTATAATATAATCCATTGATATTCATTAGACATTAATGTTTTTTTAAAAAGCACTGTAAAAGTCCTTAAACTTTAAGGTGTGTAACCAACGACTTATTACGACAACTATTAATAAAACTAATTTGTATTTTATAAATATAATGTTAATTCAAAAATTAAATGTAAAATGTGTGTTTGCACATGTTTATTAACCAGTTGTCAAAATATTTGCAATTATTATCATCAAAATTGTATATTAAATTATGGCAGACACGGGCCTATCACTGGCCTCATCTGCAGACATCCCAACATATTTCTAGAGAAATATAAATACTATTTGTGCACAAAATATATTGAAAATACACGCAATTCTTGTGTTCACAACAGACACGACAGTCACCAGAATTATGTCACAAAATATTTATATTTATTATGAAAAATAATTATATATAAAAACAAATAAGACTATTTAGACATTTGGATAAACAGCTATTGCAATAATTTAATGAATATTAGATTGAGATATAATTAATGACATTAATTACTTGATAATTTGCAAAATATATAGATTACAAAACAATATGACTGTATAATGTTCTATACGTGCAATGATTTTTGTTCAATTATTGCTAAATAATTTTTAATTATTAATTAATTATTTTTATAACTATAATAAAAATGTTTACATCATATTTTATTACAACTATAATTGAATTAATTGACAATTAAATATTAATGCTAATATTGATTCGTATTTGTTTTGCAGACTTTTAAATTGAAGTATTAAATGGATTTTATGTGATATTTATTCAGAGATTTAAACGCAAACAATGATAAATTAAATGTCTTTATTAATTCATAAAACGTTTTCTCGCAAATAAAAATTGGTTTATCTATTGTCTAAAAATATCGGTTAAACGTATGGTGTGTTTGATGTAAAACTACTTTATCATCAAATGATTTCATTAAATTTTGTTAATTCAAAAACTCATCCCTTATTACAAAATACTTGTCTATGTTTTGAGTGATTTGTTTGCCTTTGGATTGTGTGGCACACAATCTGTCAGTATTTTCACATCCTATCGAAAACGGTTTTTTCATATAAAACACAATATTTTAATTATATAAACCTATGGATACTGTTATGCGATGTCATTGTTAACAAGAAAATACACAAAACAAAAATTTAATTAAAGTTTGGGTAAACTTTGTTTTTGTTTGCTTTTGTGCCATATTTTTGTGAATACATTATACGTGGATATATTTATATATGATTATTAGATAAAAATAATTGTAATCTTATGAATTATTTTGTAAAACAATATTTTCTAATCATTTTTACTAAATAAATTGCCTAGAATTGAATTAAATTGACTTATTTATAAAGCATTGCATTATTTAGCAAAAAATAATACAATATTAATTAAATCAATATTAATATTGACATACATTTATTCACTAGTGTTTTGCACATGTATTTCACAATTTTTTTTATTATAATGCAAAAACATTATATAATAACTTAAGATTTGTCCTTAATCTATCATAAACTTCTATATTAACACTATATTAGCAGTAATTATTATAATATAAAATATAATTTCTTAATGTATTACACAAAGAAAAATTATTATAAATATTATAATTATTGAACAATGAGTTGCAAAAAATACAACACTTTTAGTTTAATTAATTTTTAGTCTTATTAACAAAAATGATTGCAATTTACTCTCATTTATGTAAACTTTAATTTTAACGTTCGCTGTGTTTATCCATTTAAATATAATTTATGTATAAAAGTGAAGGCATTTATACGAATTCAATGAATGCAATAAAAATCAATTATTTATAACAAATAAAGAAAAACGATAGCAAGAAAAATAGTACAAAATGATTGGTTTCTAACAACTGATTGGTTGTAAGAAATGTTTAATGAAAACTAAATTTTCCTGAATTTAAATCCCATATCTATTGTGTTTGCGTAGAAAAAATTATGAAATAGATTTCGTACCAAATATTCCTTTCAAATGTCAGAAAATCATTATAAATACGTTAAATGATAATAAAGAAAACAAGTATTGATCAAAAAGTTTGGTTCTTAAAAGTATTATAATTACAATGAAATGCATTTTACAAGTGTTGGGGAATTACATGATTAGTACATTTCTCTGAGAACTCAGTCCTATTCATAGAAATTACAAGAAAACTCAAAAATCTTATTAATATAATTGTATAAATTTGTACTAAATTTACCAAAAATCCTTACGAATAGACTGTGTATGACATTTATAACAATAACATCCATTATAACAATCACTTTTCTGAAGAATGCTATAATATATTGTATATAAACTTAAAATCCCTATTTTAAAAAATAATATTAAGTTTTATTTAAAAGTACTAAATATTATATAAATTTTGGTTCGCAAACAATAAGACACGTAAACTACTACAAGTAAACCAAATATAGATCTAGTTTAATTTCATTAAATTAAATATAAATATGCCATACGTTAGCATCAAAACACGATGTAATTTCATTAGTATTGTAAGGCATGTACTGTAACTCGGTTTCAACCACCCTCAAATGTAAAGTATAAATAACAGTATAATCTTATATCGCATTATAAGAGACTGCGTTTTTTGTGTTAAATAAAAATAGCAAAAAGTAATTATGCAAAGTATGCTCTAATGAAGTATTGGATTCAATTGAAACATTATAACAAAACAAAAATTAAAACTATTTTACTTTTATTGTTTTTTATTTAAGGATTTGTAAACTAATCGAAAATGTTTAGTCTCTCATTGATTTTGTTTTTCATTTTAGTTTAGTCTGTAAATATATAAAATGTATAATAATTACTTAATTATCATTAGAGAAATACTAAACATATTTCTATAGATAAGACCTTTAGAGACAATTTTGAGAATATTCTGATAACAAAAATATGTATAATTAGTTTTACATATTCTGTATAATGGAAATCAAATTAATAAATCAAAGGTTTTCTATTTTGAGACACAAATACTTATGGTGTGATAGCATAGAGAAAAGAGTTACATAATTAAGAGAAAGGCCTATTGTATGGCTTATAATTCCTAATGGACTATAAAGTTATTTTTCAAAATCAAGGACAACTGTAATGGATGTGAATGCAAAGGGCAGACCATCCTTACACTGTGTTTGTATGCTTTTAGAGTACTGTTATACTCGATCAGAGAGAGAGAGAGAGAGAGAGAG